TCCCTAATAATATTCAAAGTTAGTCTCATTATAATTGTAATATATTTAACTTATTGGTAAAGGTTCAATTTTTTTAAAAAATATTTAAAATAAAAATTTGAACATTAATTATATTGGAAATAAATACTCCCATTTTAAAAATTATTTTCGAACAAAAAAAGTGGTCTGGTTTTAAATTCCGTTTTTTTCTTTTTGTTAATAATTTAAAATATTAATTTATTGGAAAGTCAACTTAAAATAACAGAAAAAATAAATAAACAAAGTGATAGCTGTGACCGTCGGTTTTTAAGATGTTTTATTAAATTATATTTATTGGTTTGTAAGATTTTATTTTTCTTAATTATTTATTTAGTTTGAAAAAATATAGATATTTTAAAAAAATAAAAACTAATATTCTAAAGGTAATTTTTATAATTAAACTTAAAAGAAATTCTTTATTTACTTTTATATTATATTTTAAATGGTTTAAAATATCATTTTGGCTCCGTTCGGTGCTTTGATTCATTCAAATGTCTTAATCAATATATTTCAAAGGTTTTTTTAAACTATTAATTTAATAAATTTTTAACATATTTAACATATTTAAAATTTAAAAAATTCATCAATTTATTATATATAAATTTAAAATTTATGTCTAATAATATCCTAAACTTTTATTAAATAATTAACCATTTTATTATATTATTAATTTGAATTAATTTTTATTAAATAATAATAATAATTTTCACCAAGAAAATAAATATATTTCTAAAATTTATATAAATTATTATTATTATAATAAAGAACAATAAATCAGCTTTGAGATTTATTAAAATTATATAAACAGAAAAAAAAAATTAGTAAAAATATCTCCAAAAAAAAAGTCTTTGAATGAGAAACCTTCTGAATAATCTTTGAATGTGAAATGACCAAAAAGGGCTTCACACGTTGAATTAGTCTTCTTTTTTTTTTTTTTTTTTTTTTCCAGTCAGCCAACCACCCATTTGATTTTATTAATGATTTTTTGTTTTTTTTCCTCCTAATTTCCTTTTCTGTAATTTCCCCCCTAATTTTTTCAATATAAAATAAAATACCTAACTATATAATAAGTAATAAATATTTATATGGGTTTTAAATATTTGAAAAATAATACTTTTTGAAAGTCCATAAAAAATACTTATAATGCACGCATGTCAGTTATTTATTGAAAAAATATACCTTTTTAAAAAGTTCTTTTAAATTACGTCATTTTCGTGATTAAAAATATTATAACTTTATTTATTTACAAATATTAATATTATCCTCTATATAATATTGTCATTTTCTTCTTGACATTTATATTAATTGAAATAAATAATTTAGGACATGAAATTGGTCGAGTGCTTATGTCTTTTATAATTTTTTGTATTTTAAAAATGTTTTGATTATTTTATCTTCTTTGAATCTTCTTCTTGGTCCTTTTTAACTACTATGATGTTTTTTTTGATGGGATGATGATCGTATGATGTATGTATGTAAATAAGATTACGTAACATATTTATTAAAAAAAAAAAGGCTATTAAAATTTATTTGGTTAGGGCAAACATGAGTTGAGTGGGAAGAATTTTTTGGACCAACCCGTAATTTCGAGCGGGTTAAGTTGGGACTCAATCAACTTAAATAGAGTTCACAATTGAGGATTAGATTGTCAGTGTGATGTCTCATATTGATTAGTGAGGAGAGCAAAACAACTTTTATAAAAGTGTGGAAACCTTCCTCTAGCAGACACGTTTTAAAGCCTTGAGGGGAAGCCCGAAAGGGAAAACCTAAATAGGACGATATCTACTAGCATTGGATTTGAGCCGTTACAAATGATATCAGAGCCTGACACCGGACTATGTGCCAACGAAGAAGCTGTTCCCCAAAGGGGTAGACACGTGACGGTGTGTCAGTAAGGACGTTGGGCCCTGAAGATGGGTAGATTGTGACCTCCCACATTGGTTGGGGAAGAAGAACAAAACACTTTTTATAAGGGTGTGGAACCATTCACAAGTTGCAATGTATCATATCACTAGGGTATGTTAGGTTGGATTGTAATGCTGTTTTTGGGGTTTAGTCATAGTCGAATGGACTAAACCAAAAAAAAGTTTTAACGATTTGGATAATTTGAATTGGTCGGATTATTATTAAAAATAAATCAAAAACTTAAATTTGAAAATTATGGGAATTAATTTGGCCATTCCAATTTTCATTTGGCATAAAAAATAATATAGGGTGACAATATGGCCCAGATTAGCTGATTGGGCTTTGGCCCAACAATTTTATGTAATTAGGTTATTACAATTTTAAAATAAATGAATCTAATATTTTTTTTGATGTTAAATAATGCAATAAATATAATAATAATGATCGTATTTGACAAAAAAAAAAAAAAAAAAAAATTATTTCAACA